GAGTCCTTCCAGTGATCTGGTTTAGTTTCCAAGGCTATGTAATCTTAAAACCTTATGAATAGTTTTTGTGTCAAGTGCATAAATAATTTACTAAGAATATTAATCTCTATTCTTTTTGTCTCTGTTCTACAGCTTGCATTCATGTCTCAGATTTCATCTCAGATCTGCTCTGAAATCATCTCTGTACTCCCTGTTCTCCCTGTCTGTGCTTCCCCTGTTCTGATATGACTCTGATGCCTGAACATTTTAGCTCTGCCTTATACAAAACTAGAGTTGTCTGCCATTCAAAACACACCGACTCCCAGGTTGGAGGATTAAAACTCACCTGGTATTTTAGGATACAGAAAGGCACAGGAAAGGCATTAAAAAATCCTACATCCCCCACCCATTTTTAACTGTGGAATTAAGTGTTAAGTCAGTCCTGAAAGTTGGCCAGTGAAGTCAAAGGCACAGTCCAGAGAACAAGGATATGCTCTGAAACACGTAACTTTATTTCAGCTGAAATTCTGATGAAAAGGAAGGACTTGCAGGATGGAAGGGGGCTTATGGAAAATGTTGAATACAGGTTGAATAGCTGAAGAAGACAAAGAAATCCTCATGTTTTTTCATAAACTTCTCAGACCATTGAATATATGTCATCAAACTCTTACATCTGCTTAACTCCTTTTGCAAATAGCAAGATGCTATTAGAAAACTTTGAGACCGGGAAGCACAGATCACCAAAATCAGTGTCAATTTTCACATGTACTTTGACGGGAGCTGAGACCAGCCTCGAGCTCCATACGCTTTTGTGCATTTCAGTACAACTACTGTCACAATCACCACAGTAAGGGTCTTCCTATCTACTATGCCTTATAAGTCATCCTGGGATATTAGTAATGCAATATATGTAGTATTATGTTCTGCCAGAAAGCTACGACAAACAATAAAAAATAACCAAGTATTTCTTACACAGCAAAAAAGTTTGTTGCTCAAATGTGCTTGTAAAAATAGATGAGCATCCAGTTTGTTTCTATCATACCCAAGCCATGTTTACCACTCGATTTTGACTGACTGTAAAGCGTGAGGTCACCACAGCAGTGACATGAGTGACATGACTCCAGTCACCAGCAATGTATTTAGTTATCATAGAAAGTCCTGCCCACAACTTGCAAGCACTGACACTGTCTTGATCCCAGAAGCTTTCAACCCCAAAGGTAAAGACCTATTTCCAGTCTTTCTCTTCAGTCAGTTAAATAGATTATGTCAGGAGTCTTTTTGGCTGAAAATGACTACCTAGAGGACATTTTCAGTGTTTGTTTTCTCTTTCTAACTTGATTACCTATGGAACAAGAGAAGCTGAGACACTGATTGCCTCACAGTCATTTAGAGGAATATCTTTTCAAGATTGTTTTTAAGACATTGCAGTAATGCTTGAATGCCCCTCTGTGTATTGGATTGTATTTATCTGACTGTGTTTAACTGCATAGCCTTATACAGAACAGTACTTGCTATACATACATATCCATGTATATCACTGTATGTATTTACTCATAGCTATTTGATATGTGACAATACATACTAATTAATTTTTTTTATAAGCACTATGTAATTATTATCTTGAGAAAAGTGAAATCTAATTTATTAGCTCTATGCTAAATTTGGTAGAGCATTTAATTATCACTGACACAAAGAATTACAGAACACTAATAACTGAGGATCCTTGTTTTGTGCTACTGCAAGTATTCCTCCAAATTAAAGAGAAATTTCTCCCTTTCTGCAAGTATAGTATGTTTGCCTAAAGGTGGGGTTCATGTCACCTAATCCCAAAGAACTGAAACCTAGATGTCAAAGTCCATCAGCACATTCACTCAATCAAAGCCACCATAACTTCTTGGAGTTTCTACCTCTTCCCAGTAATACTGAAGGAGGCTAAATGAGTAGCTTTAGACAAGATCCCTCATTTTAGATAGAAAATTTTAGATTATTAATCTAAACTCCTCACACAAGCCTCCTTTAATGATCAATAAAGGCAGACAAACAGTTCCAGGGAAGGATTCCTCCTACCTCTCTCAGACACCTATTTGAGAACAGTGTGACTCACTGCACAGGAGCCTGTCTCCCTCCACTAACTCCCTCCAGGCTAACGAAATGCCTAAACAGACTGATTCTTCCACACCTCCAGTTCCATGTGGAGGGAAATTTAAGGTCCGCAGGGACCAGATCCCTAGAAGAAGCATGTATGTCGCTCCAACACAAATTAGTCAATAGTAGTGATATGAGAAATTTCGGCACCCGTCACTTTTATTGGGAATGCTGAATCTTGCCACAGATTTGTATCCGCATGCCTATTACCACAGGAAATTCTTTGTTAAAGTAAATGTATAGCTCAACGATAACCCATCAGAGGTGTGAAAAGCTGTTACGTGTTTGAAGAAGACAGAAGTTTAGCTCAGCAGGAAGGGCGGTGAATGCAGAGTATTTTCTGTTCCCCATCTTCTGTTTCCTGAGACTCTGAACTCTTTAAGACAGGAAAAGTACTTTTTATGCATTTCAGCACCCACTGCTCTCTGTTCCTCGTCAGTTAGAAGCAAATGGTAATTTTTAATGTCAAGGACTCTATTCTGCAAGGCACAAAGTATATCCTGCAACATACAGCTCCCTGTGGAGTTGATAGAAGGCAAAAGTACCTAGTTTCACAGAGGAAGTTTTCAGGATTACTTCTCTGGTTTATTTTCATATCTGACTGATGAATTATTTGCTGAATACACACTAGAATTATTTCTCTCCTCTGACATGATCCTTTGAAATATGAAAGGACTGCTTACTCAAGACATCCTATGGGTCTCTGGCTTTCTCTGTCTAACTTAGGGTACAAATCTTCGCATGAGTGCTAGTTTGACACATGAAATCTGACATTTAGAGCACTGCCTCTTACCAGATATGTAGCTGGAGTTCACATATGAGCAATAGTTTGAGGCCAAAATATACATAGAGCATGTAGTTTATAGAATTTCTTTTATTATGGGAACAGTATTCTGCAATATGCTAAAACATTAAGATGATACATGGCAGCCCACAGATGTGCATGATACATCACTTCAGGTTAGCACCACTCTGCTGACAGCTGCAAGAGTAAGTTGTGCCTCTGTTACGTGCAAAAAGACTAGTCCAGATACCAAAGTCACTCCACCTGTAGCATTGTAACACTTTCAGCTGACTAGTTTTCCCTGAAAGAAGGGTATTAAACATGATAATAACTATACATGACAATGTTTACATAGCAAGGACCTATATACTATCACTTGTACATAAAGCTGTGTAAATGCAGAGGAAAAACAAGCTCCAGAGAATGTGAGGTGCAAGTGTGAAAATTTACATCCCAACTTCACCTTTTAAAACTGAATGGTCAAGACCAGTCTGTAACCACCTAGGCTCTCGCTATTATTAGTGCAAGAAGCCAAGCCCTGGAGGAACATTCACCCATCTGTCTTTCTCAGGAGAAGATGAAATGCCTCCCGGTAAAATGACTGTCTCTCCCTTGACTACAGTGGGAATCCCAGCCTACACTAACCATTTAACTGTGAAATGGCTAAAGTTAGAACTAATGAGTCCCTGGGAATCACACCCATAGGAAGATTTCCAAACACTTCTCTGAGGCTGAAGATTGAGGGGGAAGAGGATATATGACTGTACTTGCACTTACGTGAGCTCTTCCTAACCAGCCCAGGCAAAGCCAGCAGTAGAGCATGGGGCTTAGGGAGTGTTGTGGTTTGAGCCTGGTCAGCAGCTAAATGCCACACAGTCGCTCACCCACCCTCCCCCCACTTGGGAATGAGGAGGGAATCAGAGGGGCAAAGGGAGACTCACGGGTTGAGATAAAAACAGTTTAATAACAGTAACAGAACAATACACTGACAGCAGTATCACCAGGTAATGCACAATACAGCTGCTCACCTCCCACCAACACCCACCTGCTCCCAGCTGGTGATCCCAAACACAAAGGCACCACAGCCACAATCCTAGAAGTGAGAGCCCCTCCTGCCCCACTCCTGCCTTTATATAGTGAGCACAATGTCACATGACATGGAATATCGGCCAATCCGGGCCCAGCACTCCCCCCCCGCCCCCGCACACAGGTGAGGGCACTAGCACCTGGGGAGCTCCTGGGGTCTCAATGTGCTGCAGCACTCCTCCAGCTACTAAAACGAACAGGAACTCTATTCCAGCCCGAACCAGGACAGGGAGGGGTGTACCTCCCTAAATTGTGTCTCCTACCTGATGTTTAATGTTACAATCTCACCCGCTGCATCCAGTGCACAGCAGACAAGATAGTTTATGTTCCTTCTTGGTGATACTATAAAGCAGATACCTTCAGCGGTAAAAACATCAGTGCCCTCTCTAAGAAGTAAAGGTCCCAAATCCATCAAAAGGAACTATTACTTTTTATTTATTCTCCTTCTTCAACAAAGTTGCTTTTGTCAGGACAAGTGGGACAGCAAGCTGTCCCCTTCTGTCCCTCTAAAGCCACGCTACAGCTATTCTCATTTAGGGATGCTCTTCTGCTCTTTGGAAACTGTAATTCTAGTGAATGGAAATTCAAAGACTTTTATTACTAGGTGTAAATAGGGCCATAAAATTTTAAAGAAAAGAGCCGGGTCAAACCTCTAACTCAGGAATGTCCTTTTATTTTCTTGCCTTCTACATCCTTGTCCTGTTTTTGTTGTTGTTGTTATTGTGGGTTGTTTTTTTTGTATTTTTTTTTTCTTTTTTTAATCCTTTCCTTATTTTTCTTTCTTTCTACCTGCTCCCTGTTACGAGAAAAGTTACCCTGCCTCTGCGAACATCTCCCCCACCCCCCTGGATCCTGCAGGGCAGCTGCAGAGCCACCCAGCTGTGCTCAACAGCCTCGGGAGCCAGCTGTGCGGTGTCCCACCTCTTCCACACACACACACCCCCACACACACACACACACCCTCGCATCCCCCCCTACCCCCGAAAGCCCACGGCCGGGCACTCACCAAGGGGAGCAGCAACCAGCACAAACTTCGCATCCTCGGCAGCAGCCGCCGGGTCCTCCCCGCTCCCTCTGCCTGTGGTGAAGCTGCCAAAAGCCGATGCTCAGCCCGCCCCCACCAAGACCCGCCCCGGAGAGCCTTGCACCTCCCTTCCCGGCCCCCCCGGGTCCCTCCTGGGGGACCCCCCCCTCCCCCCGGCCACCTTCGAGCCCGAAGGACCAGGTTCGCAGCAGAGGGAAGATCTGCCAGCATCCCCCCCTGGGAGTTTGGACCCGCCTCTATGAACCGGTCCTCTGGTCGCCCGCCTGCACAGCTGGAGCACCCCCTGGGCTTTTGGGGTTTACTTGGAAGCAGATGTTCTCTGTGCAAGAAGGGGTGCTGGATTCACCCCCTCCTTCTGCTAATGGGACCCTGCTTGTGGTTTTCAAAGGTGTTCAGTGGGTCTGACAGCGTGGTATTCCCTAGGGCCTCTCAGAAATGGAGTTGCTGGGTTTTGGCATCCCCCTTCCTCTTCAAGGGAAAATTTTGAGCAGTGACAGAGGATTTCCCCCGCAATCCACATAAGGTCTTTCTGGCTCTTATGTTACAAAGATGACTTGAATGTAGCTTTAATTCTTGGTGCAATAAGTAAAAGCTAAAGTCCTTCTTGCCTGTGGCTTGGATTTTGTTGGTTAAAAAAAAAAAAAAAAGGAAAAAAAAAAATTATATATTACACTTTTGAATATCAGGGTTCATAGGACCTAGAAACCAGTTCTGGGGTTTGCCACAGTAAATATTACACCGAGCTATTTTCAGAGCCTGGGAGAGCTGGAATTGTGGGCATGGCAAAAGCAGTTTTCTTGATAAGATTTAAGTGCTATTTCATATCCTGTTTATCATTCATTATTTCCCAATGGTGTTAAAGTTCTGTATAGTCAGAAAAGATTCATGGTTTACCTAAGTTACCTCAAAATAGATGTCTAACACCATTACAGAGAATATAAATTTCTGCAGCTGTCTTTACAAGTGTATAGATGTCCTATAAGTCCTATATCATGCTTACTGGCTCTACCTAGATTATTTCAGATATACAAGGGCACCTTGAGTGACATTCCTTACATTTGTTTAAGAAACTGAGTCATGTCAGTGGAATCTATTAATTTCTTTCTTTGCACCCTGATAGTCCTGACCAAATCACTCTGTTTTAACGGAAATATAGACAATTTGTACCTGTGTGGACAACTATATTAAAATCCTGAAATGTGGGTGTTTTGTATCAGGATGTAGCCCATCTTAGTCTTGTAAACCAAAGGAATTTGTGTCTAAAATCAAATATTATCCCAGTCTCGTGATACAGAGACAGTTCTACAAACTGTGCTGAATAATGAGGATGAAGGCATAGGTTTGTGAGGTAACATTTGTAACCTAACTCTCATTTATCACTTCTTTTCTATATATTTGTCTTTCATTAGTGCATAAAGGCATCTGATCACTTATCTGCACAGATAAGCTTCAAATGTTACTTCAAAAATCAAGTTTGTTATAAAATAAAGAGATTAAAACATAAACGTCTGATTTTGACTGTTTTTCTCCATATGTAATGGATGAGTTAAAGCTGTGGCCAACTCTCACTAGTCAATAAGGTGGATCTCATCACACTGGAATAATTTTTAGGATCCCACTACAAGGCAGGCACTGCATGGTATCAGGCATTCCCAATTCTAATGCAAAGGAAAATGCAAAGTAGATGCCTATCAAAAACCCTCAAGATAGGAGCACATTATAACACCTACCGAACAGTATTCCACCAACTTGAGTATAAAAGGTCATAGAATAATTTAGGTTGGAAAGGACCTATAGAAATTTGGCCACAAACATCTCTTCCCCTCAGAATAAATCAAGTTTCAAAGTGAGGTCGTGTTGCCCAGGGATTTTGTTGCTGTGTTTCAAAAAAACATTTCTCTCAGGAGTCACACTGTAAACACAAAAATGTAGTTAAATTAATATCATCATGACATTCCAATCTATGGTATTTCAATTGGATTCCATTATTTAAGGCCTCTCATGTCACTTTGATGAAGCCTTTTAAGTCGTCATAACCAGTCTCCCAGGTTGGAGCAAAACCAAGCAAAAACCATTTTTTGGGATAGTTTTTTGTGTAGTTTCTTGACATGGGTGTTCATAAGCGGTCCTTAGGAGAAGACATTGCTGCTTCTAGCTGACGTAATCTCTCAGTGCTTCCCTCCTTACATATTTTCTTTCCTCCACCTGCTTTTCCTATCTGATCTCCAGCTGATCTAAAAAATCAGGCCACATTCCAATCCTTGAGCTTTAACTTTATTACCTGGAAACTCTTGTAAGAGATTTTGTCCATGCTAATAAAGAAAACCAAGCCTGCTTTTGTTGGGTTTTTGTAACATCTCACTGTAGTTAATGCTATAAACGTTTCATACATTAAAGTCTCTGAGTCCCTTAGTTTATGATATCCCTTTATTACTTTAAACAGGACCTTTTGAAGGCTGAAACCTTATTCAGGCTAAAATCTAATTTCTGTTTATCATATTCATTTACTTTATTCATTCTACTCTTTGTTATTTCTCTGTATGTACCCAAAGAATAATGAACTAATGCAGGAAAGTAACCATATTCTCTTCTATGCGCTGATGCATTTTGCTACTTTTTATCACAAAATAGTTCCTTGCCTGATAAGCTGGCTACAGATAAGCAATTTTTTATTTTTCTTCAGCAATTATAGGATAACTAATCTAAGATAAGGACCAGCTTTGTTTTCCTACTGATCTACAACACCAACCTGAGCTTAGAATATAACTCTCGTGCATAAAAATGTCCTCTTGTTAACATCAACAAGCAATCTAGCCATCATGATGGTATGAAACTTAATCAATGAAGCAATAGACCTGAGATTCTTCCTAATCCTCATCATGGATATTCTGAATCAATTGTTGCCATTTAATGAAAATGACTTGACATTTACTGAACTGCTTAGGACCTTTGTTAAAGCTGGAGAATGTTTTTTCGATAGCATATGCTACCTGATTAAGGCTTTTCCATTATAAAAATCTTTCCGAAATTCAACTGTTTCCTCTGTGTGCATATACAAGCACCTCCTTAGACAACAAAAGAATAGTGCACCAGCACCACATTGCAGCCATCAACCAGAGAATAAGTGTGAATCTATTGACATTTCTAAACAATCTTTTGATAAATCTGACTAAAGATGCAAAACAAAAACCCTGGGATTATGGGAAGGCTGCAATTACTGAAAGCACACAGTCCAGTGGTTAGATAGAACATGACATTACTGAGAAACATATTACAACTATAATTAAAACTCCACTGTTTTTAAAAAAAGGAGGGTATATAAGAAAGGGCAGAACCTTTTTTTTTCCTGAAAGTGATCTCTGTGTGATGTTTGAGAGAGTGGGGTGAAAGCAGGAAGAGAAAACAACTGAAGAGCTGGATTGGTTTTGAGATACTAAAGAGATAAGGCACTATTAACATCAGAAAACAAGTAATTCTATCTTCATGATGATAGTTTATCCAATTAATTTTCTTTGTATACACTGGCTGTGATATCTGCTTACTATTTTTCTTGGGTAAAATAGACTCCTGCTGCATCCTGAGGCTCTGACTCCATATGCACCCATATTCTGTTACTGTTACATGGCCTGACTTCAAGGACACCACAGACATACAGGCAGAGTTTCATCAAGCAATCATGGACACTTGGCTCATGTGGATTCTGTCCCACATGTTTTAATCTGTAAATCCGCCCAAACATCTAAGATGCTTTCTGAATTTGAAAAGTATATCTTATCTGTGGTTATCTACAACAAATTTGCTATTTAGATTCTTCTAAAAATAAACTCTTTTAATCTTTTCAGTATTTCTCCTTAAAGAAAATAATCTGTCAATGATCCCTTCTCTATTTCTATTGTATCTTATTTGTTGAATTAGAAAGTAATTTTTTCAAACCTAAGGGAAGTTACTTTTCCCAGTGGCACACAATGAAATCTTCATTCCTATTAGTAGTCTCTAAAGAGTTGACAAACCAGCTGTTCCTGTCCTCAGAAATAGTTTTATGCATTATATTATTCATTTGTTTTCTTGTTTTCCTCTGGCCGTTTCCACTCAAATTCATTTCTGTTTGTTTTTCACAATGAGTAGAACAACACTGATTTTTGTTTACTAAAATTTGATTTTAAGACAAAACTTGCTCCCCTCATAAGGGCCAAGAAAAGATCCATCTGCATTTTGTATAGGTTGAGTCTACAAAATAGAAGAGAAGTAGACATGAGTAACCTATTTAAAACAATATAGAAGTTCAGTAACTAGTGTACACTGGTATCTGCTTCTTTTATGTTTAACAGAAAGAAGAGAAATCTTTTGTCCAGACTTTTCTCTATGATTATGTCACTTTCTCCACCGACTGTAGAGGGAGCTCAGGCAGCTGGCTCATCTCACACCCCTACAGTAGTACTTGTCTCGTCTAATTTCAGACATTAAGAGTGTAAATATGAACTGATTACTTCCAGATTATTTTTACAGTCACAGATACCATTGAATGCAATTTGCCTGACGTAATTTAGATGTCTACAGAGGACAAGATAATCAGCTCCTTAGGGCGTATTCCTCTCCACTGTCTCTAAAAGGAGGATAGGATGATTGTTCAGATGTAGATGTTTACTTTAGGGGTGAAATTACACACACTGGTATGAATATTTAATCTACATATCTATCTGGATGTGTAAGATGGAAAAGTGAGCTCCCGCTGTGGTTAATAGCCAGTCTAAGCTAATTAGCTAGGTTTCCTTTACAGTTATGGGAACGACATAAAAAGTTCCTCTACAAACTCATTTGTACTATATTCTAGTGGGAGGTACTGAGTCCTAAGTCATTCTGTCTCATTTAAAAGATTTCAAAGGGAGATGAGAGGTGGAGTTTTTTAAAGACATTGATAAATTTAGATATCAGTTGTAGATGTCTAGATGCAAACTGGATGCAACAGTCTTTGGGGTTAACAATCATCTAAAATGGCACCTTCATTTAGTCTGTTG